ATGGCGCAATAATGTTAATATAAATTTCACCCTATGTGACCAAATTTTTCGTACATCAATTTTCGCCATCTCTCCTGCAGTAACCGGTTCGATCTTACTCAAGGTGAATATTTAGTGTGAAACAAGGATGTTCACTGTAACTTTCAACATCCTGTTCATTGAACATGTCAGCGTTAACCGTTTCATTCGTAATGGCCATAATTCGCAATAACACTAATTGTAGGTTACAGCTTTTTAACAGAGACGGTGCACATTCCTACTCTCGCTGCAAACTGTTTTGCTGTAATAGAATCTACTATGAATTACCCGGAGTCTGTCTCTCTGCTAGAACTGACCGCAATACAATATCAGAGAGTCTCCCTAAAAGAATTACCCACGCCACCATTTTAGAGAATCTCTCAGGCATTGACTACCCATTACACACGATCTTCACTCCACTATCTCTCAAACAATGGTTGATAGACGCTACCTTCCACACAATATTTCATAGACACTACCTTCCACATAATAGTTGATAGACACTATCTTCCACACAATATTTGATAGACACTACCTTCCACACAATAGTTGATAGATACTACCTTCCACGCAATAATTGATAGACACTTCCTTCTACACAATAGTTGATAGACACTGCCTTCCACACAAAAGTTGATACAAACTACCTCCCACACAATATTTGACAGACACTACCTTCCACACAATATTTGACAGACACTACCTTCCACACAATATTTGACAGACACTACCTTCCACACAATAGTTGACAGACACTACCTTCCACACAATAGTTAATAGACACTACCTTCCACACAATATTTGACAGACACTATCTTCCACACAACGTTTGATATACCCTATCTTCCATACAACCATAGATATGCTCCCCACTGTGTGGGACTGCCTATGCAGCAACACACAGGTTGGATCCTCAAAGTGCGGACAGTTCAGCTGGTGACCCCTGGGTGCAAATTTAAACCTTCACACCATGTTTGTGGTAACACCTATTACAAATACTACACAAGGTTTCCATCATGGAATCAATCCAATTATTCGTTTTTAAGACCAGGTTTAGTCTGTCTTACAGACCCTGATTCAAATATATCAAATACAGCCCATGCAAGTCTATATTGTTTGGCAAGTCTAGATTTCTGCAGTTTCTGAAACTGAAGAGAGTCTCTGGGCTCCTTTTTGTTAAATTGTTGTTAAGATAATATAACAACTATTTCCTTTCCGTACGATATGTTCATTTCAGGGACTAGAAGTTAATCCAGGTTGTTTGCACATAACACTAAACACCGAGATCTTCCAGCAGAATCCTTGAACCATCGTTCTGTGTACCACACACTCAACATTAAAATCTACCACAATCCTTGAAGGATAGTGTCGTGTACATCACACTAAACACTGAAATACCCTACTACAATAACAGAACGATAGGAACACACATCAACAGATAGTTCTTGAAGAGCAACATCATGTGTATTGACTGAATGTTGAACGCACACACAAGATGCATGTACACAAACATACAACGTAAGGACGACCTACCCGAGTGACCTACCCTTGATGTGCGACCGACTTCAAACACACACTGATGATTGTGGTCAGAGAAAATCTGAACTCGCATTTTCCGGATCACTGCTACAGGTAACCATCAAAGGGGTACCGCCTTTATTGTTAAGTATCACGGTAAACCTTTTGTGTTGCCGATGGGTCATAATGTCTATGTGATGTAAGATGTCAATTAACAAATCCCATTACGTCACAGATCACCCCCGGGCGATTGGGAGATGGGGTGTTGATGCCGTACTGTTTTTACCCCTTGATATATGCCGACATTTCTCGGTCTACGGGGACCTCGGAGACGTGGTGTTTGAGTTAAAAACATGTGTATTTTTAGAGCGAGATAAATTTAAGTTGAGGAATTCTCTGTGCAACGCTGATAACGACTGCTGGCGAATTGTGATCCATAGCATACTCGTTTAATGTGGGTGGTCCTAAAACCTGTCGACTTCCAGAAGCGAAACGAAACGATCCGGAGGTGCTTTGTGTTGAGGAATGTGCTGAAATGACCCTCAGTGGGATCCGACCAGGGAGGTAATGCGATTTGGTAATACAGAGACGAGTAAATTCCGGGGTTAATTTGTCGTGATGGGGATTAAACCAATAATGTTCTGAGCGTGAAACAAATGTTATCGAAACAGGATGGATTCCATAACGAATTGCCCTGGGATCTTCGTTCCACCTGAGCGCCTCTGTACCCGTGCCGGGCGATGTTTAAAGTACGTAGAAAATTTGGTTTTAAAAATAGTTTGTTTTTTACACACACACACACACACACACACACACACACACACACACACACACGCCGTTTTTACTAAGCATTTACATTATCAATTGAACATTTCAAGTTAAAAAAAGCATATCAGTATTATTAATAGGACGAATGTTTATTTAATACGATAATTGATGAAACCCTAATCTTTCTTTCCTCACGATAGCTGCTTCTTCCACAGGAAAAAATATTTACTTCCTGCCAAAGGCATAGAATATCTATTTCCTGGTTTTCTAATTTTAAAAAATAAAAATTCAATTTCCTTCATAAATAAGAAATACATAAAATCGTACATAAATAAACATCATGACATTTGGTTGATTAAATCAATTTAGAAAGGCAAACTAATAAATAAATATATATTTGTTGTTTCGGAACCATGAAAAGTACTCATACAAACTTTAGCGGTAAGGTGATATCTCTGTCCCATAAAAAAAACAGAATCCGGGTTGCTTAAACTTGTGTGTGGGTGTGCGCTGGTTTGAGGTTTCTGAATGCCTTGAGAACTGCGGGGATTTAATGGGATTGTTCCAATATCATCACAGTCAAAATTCAACTAACAGTTCAAATGAAGGTTCAAGAGACAACAATGTTGCTGTGTCATAAAATTTTACTGTTAAGGAATACTTGTGATCTAAAATACCATACAGGTTTAACCAAATAACGCCGATGCACTGTGTTACTCAACTATTTCAATATGGTTTGAACTATACTCCTTGGTAATAGAGCAAGAAACAGGAGAAAACATACCAGGGTTCCTAATTCAGTTGATGTACACAATGTCTAAGTCTTGTGCCATGACTATGGAATTGATGTTTTTTTAGGTATTTTTTTTATTACTAAACGTCTACATCAAACTAACCAAGTCAAGTTTGCTTTGAGGAAAGATTCTTTCGAAGAAAAAAAGACATTTATTTTAAAGAAATGTTTTCATTAACTAAGTGAGTGAGTGAGTATAGTTTTACCCCGCTATTAGCAATGTTCCAGCAATATCACGGCGGGGGACACCAGAAATGGGCTTGACACATTGTACTCATGTCGGGAATCGAACCCGGGTTTTCGGCGTGACGAGCGAACGCTTTGACCACTTGGCTACCCGACCGCCCCTCATTGAATAAGTGTTAGTCTAACAATGTCTTATCGTATGTTAATACCCTTGATATGCCTTGAGGATAACCGTCATTATACAATAGTGTATCTTGATCGTATCTATATTATCATCGATCATCAGAGTTATACAACAGTGAACCTGTACTATAGATCATCAGAGTTATACAACAGTGAACCTGTACTATAGATCATCAGAGTTATACAACAGTGAACCTGTACTATAGATCATCAGAGTTATACAACAGTGAACCTGTACTATAGATCATCAGAGTTATACAACAGTGAACCTGTACTATAGATCATCAGTTATACAACAGTGAACCTGTACTATAGATCATCAGAGTTATACAATAGTGAACCTGAACTATAGATCATCAGAGTTATATCATAGTGAACCTGTACTATAGATCATCAGAGTTATACAGTTGCGAACCCGTACTATAGATCAACAGAGTTATACAATGGTGAACCTGTACTATAGATCATCAGAGTTATACCATAGTGAACCTGTACTATAGATCATCAGAGTTATACCATAGTGAACCTGTACTATAGATCATCAGAGTTATACAAAAGTGAACCTGTACTATAGATCAGAGTTATACAATAGTCAACCTGTACTATATATCATCAGAGTTATACAATAGTCAACCTGTAATATAGATCATCAGAGTTATTCAACAGTGAACCTGTACTCTGATCATCAGAGTTATACAATAGTCAACCTGTAAGGTAGATCATCAGAATTATACAACAGTGAACCTGTACTCTGATCATCAGAGTTATACAACAGTGAACCTGTACTCTGATCATCAGAGTTATACAATAGTCAACCTGTAACATAGATCATCAGAATTATACAACAGTGAACCTGTACTCTGATCATCAGAGTTATACAACAGTGAACCTGTACTCTTGATCAACAGATTATACAATGGTGAACCTGTAAATGTAATATCGATCAATGCAGTTATACCATAGTGTAACACGATCACACCTGTATCATCGACCACACGGACTACACAGAGTAGCAAACAGCAGCACACTGGCTATCGATTCATTGACACAAGTATTAACTATGTTAATCGATATGACTGATGTACCTTCAGGGTAGTCATGTCGTTATAACAGTAACAGTGTGTATACATATCTAAATGTATATTACACACCAATGTCTACACTACGTGGCTGTCAAATATCACTGACTTACCGTTCACTGACAACAGGTGTTTGTTGGACTTCGGTCGGAAGAACTGACTTCCCACATGCGTATGAGGTCATATAAATTGTTTTAAGTCTAGATATGCGTGAAAGTCCGGTTAGAGAAGCATGTTGCGACACGAGTGAGTAGTAAAGAGCCTTATTCACATGAGTCACGTCCGGAAGCGAGTGGGTGGTTCGTCTGTGTTGACTGGGAACATGTGAACAACGGACTGCGATTTAAAACGGATGTGGAATCTACAACGGGATTGTAATATGTTTGTATCCCGCTCATCGCTGGGACCTACTTCCCCGTTATACCATGAACTTGGACAATTTAACGCCTACTCACCTCGAGACGAAGTCTGGTTTAGACTCTGTTTCTTTCCTTGTGGGCCCAACTAGCTAAATCTAAGTCCGATTGTGATGTTAGTTAATTATCGATCGCTCATTCCACAAGTTTCAGTGTTAAACTCGGGGGCAGGATTCGTGTATCCTTCGTGTATCTGACGTAATGTTTCACCACAATCTATCCGACAACAAATCCTCGTCTTCGTTTCAAATCCTCGAATTACGGGAGCTCACTGACCCGAATCCAAAATCGTTTGAACGCGAGGTCAATCTTTAGGCTCCACTCCCGAATACCTCGCATGTCACAGCGTGATTCATGGCTATTGAATATACAATCACCCGGAAGTCTATTATTTACGATGGGAACTCCTTCTGACGTCACTGTGACGTCATATGTCCATAATCGTCCTAATATGGCAAAGAAACAGCCTATCATTGTACAGGCAAGTATATGTCGTCTTGTGGTTAAACTGCCGCGGTCGATCGTGTGGCGGGGATTGTGGGTCAACGGGACCTAGAACTGTTAGAGAAGCAACCACGAATGTAGTGTATACTAGAATATGGCACATTAGCTTAAGAATAACCAACTTATCACAATTGGGTAAAGTAAAGATTGTCATCAAACTATTTGATGCGACAAATTTAGTCGGAGATAATTGAACGATGCAATTGTTTGAATATGTAACTGCTTTGTGAAAAAAATGTATTATGGTATGCTGTAAAAAAAATATATGATAAATTATGAGATATTATAAAATCACATTAGATTAACATAAAATTGATTTATAACTATTCATGGCAAAACACTCCCTGGAGTCTTCACGGCCACTGACGTTACTATGGAAATATTTTATTTCTGGCTTTCATTTCTTAATATACTTTCACGCCGAGTTTCTGTCATATGGTGCTATTTGTGTTTTCTGGCATGTTTTCTCCACAAATAGTGTATATTTAGCACCAGTGTACATGTAGATACATACGGACCTATATATAGTATACCCCTAGCCGCCACGACACTTCGCCAAATCGTAAATCAAATCCACCTGTGTACAGTAAAAACCCGTTAGAAAAGAACCCCCGTATTCAGGGCGTTTACAATTTACATATAGGTGTATAAACATACAAAGGGACATTGCTCCATACCCATGATACGTCAATCCGGACATTTATTAAACCGGACAATCAATCAATGAGAACAGCACCGTTCGGATTAACGAGGTGTCCCTGATTCCCCTGATTTCTCCACCAGTGCACTTCAAAACACACATCTTTCATGTGACGGGATATATGCCAGAACCAGGGCCATTCTGTGTAAAAATAGTTCATTTCTAAGGGTACAGTCGCCGAGCTTACTCGTGTAAACAAAACCTGTTAGATTTCATGTCTGTGTTGATTTAAAGCATAGATATAGTGCAGAGTGTTTGTGTAACATTTCCATTTAGTCGTCGAAACTTGTTTGTGCATAGATGAAGAATGGGTTTGACGTGAGTTCAGATTCATTAATATGACTCGAGTAACTAACACGATAGCACTTGATGTTAGTCTGCCATACAGACCCTGAAACAAATATATCCAATACAGCCGAAGTATATAATGTTTGACAAGTCTAGATTACTGCAGTATCTAAAAATACTCTGGTCTCTTTTTATTATATGTTATAACTATAATTTTAAGAACTGTTTTTTTTTTCTGAAAAATATGTTCATTTCTGAGACAGAGATGTCAGTCTAAACTTGATGTGTACGTCAGCATCTACACTGTTTAAATGTATGAAGATAGATATCGCGATGCTTGGTCAGTGTGTGAGTGGACCCGTGAAGATCCGGGTTGGAATTGGTCTTCAGCAACCCATGCTTGTCGGAGGGGGCGACTAACGGGACCGGGTGGTCAAGCTCGCTGACTTGGTTGATGCATGTCATCCATCCGAATTGCGTAGATGATCGATGGTCCAGACTTGATTACTTACAGACCGCCGTCATATAGCTGAAATTTTGCTGAGTGCGGCGTTAAACAAACAAACAAACACACTTACAGGAGAATATGGTACTGTCTACGCATAAATATAACTACATCTATACAAGTGCGGCGTTGAACAACAAATAAACATCACGAAAAAACAATGAGTGAGTGCAGCGGCAATCATGTTTTCTGTCACTGGATTATCTGGTTCAGATATTAACAGACCGCCGGTACACAGATGAAATCGAACTGGCTACAAGGTAAACAACATCCACACAATCACTCACTAGACGGGGAAACAACATCCACCCAATCACTCATTAAATAGGGAAACAACATCCACCCAATCACTCACTAGACGGAGAAGCAACATCCACACAATCACTCACTAGACGGGGAAACAACATCCACCCAATCACTCATTAAATAGGGAAACAACATCCACCCAATCACTCACTAGACGGAGAAGCAACATCCACACAATCACTCACTAGACGGGGAAACAACATCCACACAATCACTCACTAGACGGGGAAACAACATCCACCCAATCACTCACTAGACGGAGAAGCAACATCCACACAATCACTCACTAGACGGGGAAACAACATCCACACAATCACTCACTAGATGAGGAAACAGCATCCAACCAATCACTCACTAAATAGGGAAACAACATCCACCCAATCACTCACTAGACGGAGAAGCAACATCCACACAATCACTCACTAGACGGGGAAACAACATCCACACAATCACTCACTAGACGGGGAAACAACATCCACCCAATCACTCACTAGACGGAGAAGCAACATCCACACAATCACTCACTAGACGGGGAAACAACATCCACACAATCACTCACTAGACGGGGAAACAACATCCACACAATCACTCACTATATAGGTAAAGAACATCCACACAATCACTCACTATATGGGGAAACAACATCCACACAATCACTCACTATATGGGGAAACAACATGCACACAATCACTCACTAAACGGAGAAACAACATCCACACAATCACTCACTATATGGGGAAACAACATCCACACAATCACTCACTAAATAGGGAAACAACATCCACACAATCACTCACTATATGGGGAAACAACATCCACACAATCACTCACTAAATAGGGAAACAATATCCACACAATCACTCACTACATAGGGAAAGAACATCCACACGATTACTAACTAAATAGGGAAACAACATAAACACAATCACTCACTAAATAGGAAAACAACATCCACACCATCACTCACGATATGTGGAAACAACATCCACACAATCACTCACTGTATGGGGAAACAACCTCCACACAATCACTCACTAGATGGGGAAACAACATCCACACAATCACTCACGATATGAGGAAACAACATCCACACAATCACTCACGATATGAGATAACAATATCCACACAATCACTCACTAAACGGAGAAACAACACCCACACAATTACTCACTAGATGGGGAAACAACCTCCACTCAATCACTCACTATATGGGGAAACATCATCCACACAGTCACTCACTAAATTGGGAAACAATATACACACAATCACTCACTATATGTGGAAACAATATCCACACGATTACTCACTATATGGGGAAACAACATCCACACGATTACTCACTAAATAGGGAAACAACCTCCACACAATCACTCACTAGATGGGGAAACAACATCCACACAATCACTCACGATATGAGGAAACAACATCCACACAATCACTCACTAAATTGGGAAACAACATCCACACAATCACTCACGATATGAGGAAACAACAGCCACACAATCACTCACTAAATAGGGAAACAATATCCACACAATCACTCACTATATAGGGAAAGAACATCCACACAATCACTCACTAGACGGGGAAACAACATCTACACAATCACTCACTAGATGGGGAAACAACCTCCACAGAATCACTCACTATATAGGGAAACAACATCCACACAATCACTCACTAAATAGGGAAACAACATCCACACAGTCACTCACTAGACGGGGAAACAACATCCACACAATCACTCACTAGACGGGGAAACAACATCTACACAATCACTCACTAGATGGGGAAACAACCTCCACACAATCACTCACTATATAGGGAAACAACATCCACACAATCACTCACTAAATAGGGAAACAACATCCACACAGTCACTCACTAGACGGGGAAACAACATCTACACAATCACTCACTAGACGTGGAAACAACCTCCACACAATCACTCACTATATGGGGAAACAACATCCACACAATCACTCACTAGACAGGGAAACAACCTCCACACAATCATTCACTATATGGGGAAACAATATGCACACAATCACTCACTATATGGGGAAACAACATCCACTCAATCACTCACTATATCAGGTGACAACATCCACACATCACTCACTATATGGGGAAACAACATCCACACAATCACTCACTATATGGGGAGACAACATGCACACAATCACTCACGATATAGGGAAAGAACATCCACACAATCACTCACTATATGGGGAAACAACATGCACACAATCACTCACTAAATAGGGAAACAACATCCACACAATCACTCACTATATGGGGAAACAGCAGCCACACAATCACTCACTAGATGGGGAAACAACATCCACACAATCACTCACTAAATAGGGAAACAACATCCACACAGTCACTCACTAGACGGGGAAACAACATCTACACAATCACTCACTAGACGTGGAAACAACCTCCACACAATCACTCACTATATGGGGAAACAACATCCACACAATCACTCACTGGACAGGGAAACAACCTCCACACAATCATTCACTATATGGGGAAACAATATGCACACAATCACTCACTATATGGGGAAACAACATCCACTCAATCACTCACTATATCGGGTGACAACATCCACACATCACTCACTATATGGGGAAACAACATCCACACAATCACTCACTATATGGGGAGACAACATGCACACAATCACTCACGATATAGGGAAAGAACATCCACACAATCACTCACTATATGGGGAAACAACATGCACACAATCACTCACTAAATAGGGAAACAACATCCACACAATCACTCACTATATGGGGAAACAGCAGCCACACAATCACTCACTAGATGGGGAAACAACATCCACACAATCACTCACTAAATAGGGAAACAATATCCACACAATGACTCACTATATGGGGAAGAACAGCCACACAATCACTCACTAGATGGGGAAACAATCTCCACACAATCTCTCACTATATGGGGAAACAACATCAACCTAATCACTCACTAAATAGGGAAACAACCTCCACACAGTCACTCACTATATGGGGAAACAACATCCACATAATCACTCACTAGATA